ACAACCACAATAGGACAAAAGAATATGGAGAAATTGACCATCATCAAAATCGGAATGAAATAAACTAAAAATGGATTTTTCGCAGCCCGTCAAACTTTATGCGCGCCACAGATGAACAAACAATGTTTGGTCTTCCGACTCGAACATTCTTAAGCCCACGAATCTTTTCCTGGCCTATCTGTGAGCAAAAAGTCTGATTTTCCAACCCATGTTACTGAATTAGCTAAAAAGAGACTCAGTGAGAGCCATCCTGGGACGAAATTCTGCCAAAAGTCATTGCGCATTTTGAAAAGTTCTTTGAGCAGAATAAATTCTTTCAAAAAAACCATAGCTGGATGTCTCGGAAGTGGTAGGTCGCGCCTCCCTAATTACCGACAGTTAAGGAGGCGGCGGCAAGCGGTTATCTGAATCCTCCACCTCCCGAACAAGCTGAATATCGTTCTCAAGGTTAACAGCGAAGAATGTCGCCTCACTGCAGTTGTGAAGGAACGACTTATTTGCAACACTTAACGATATGACACTAAAATGGCTCCGTATATGTGCTACAGATAGTAGAGCATCGCTTGCATTTAGCGTCTCATGTTATTCAAGGCGTTACAGCAAACTTTTTTTCCAATCTAAGTGGCCTCTTGGCACTGGTGACCTGGCGGCATCACGATAGTATCAAAAAACTTACCTCTATCTTAATATGATTTTTAGAACTCATGTAATTTTATCTTCCTGATTGTTAGGAGCCAACGTGGCGAATCCGTAATCCAGAGCAATTTTCGAAGCAGCCTTCTCGCTTTTTTCGGAAGCAATTTTTGGCAGCGCGATTTGGGCGAGTATGCAGTTGGGGGTCCCATTACTGTTGGGCATAACATCTCATCGACCCCATTTTGGATAGACGGTGCCTTTGAGGCCTTAAGCATAGCTCACGCTTATTCGCCGCCTCGCGATTTTCCAACAACACACTGTTACATTGCATGCAGATCATCTCGCGTTTCGGTTGTGGTAGTTTTCCAACATGAGTAATCCTGATTAACTATCACAGCCGGATTGAAAGGTAGTCAGCATACAATGGACCCATAAGGACTCGAACAGAGATCACACGATTTGGTCGTGCGATTTAATTGCCGCGATTTTCATTATTTTCGTTTTATATTCAAAAATTTGCTGGAAAAGTATCACAACCGAAATGCAAGCTGATCGGCATGCATTGAACCCGTAACAGCTGTCTTGTCGCGATCAATGGCGACGAACAAATCGCGTGAACTCTGCCCCAGGCCTAACAGTTGTTTCGTCGGGAGAATAGCGAGGAGGCGAAACTGCGTAAACTATGAAGCGATCGCAACCCCATTTGTTTATAGCTCATCGTGAGCGCATTTGGAATACACAGAAGATTCTATCATACATTAGTTGAACAAGCTATGCATTCGTGGTTCAACAGCTTTTAATTTGGAAGAATCTGGAAAATCGCCAAACTGCGTGGTGAGTAAAATAGCGCCAGTGTTCAGACAAGGGAGGTTTAAAAATAGTGCCACGCAAAAATTCGCCCTCTCAAACACGCCAACGCGCAAGTCCGGGCCAATACGGTCGGAAGTTTGGAAATCTACGTTTTTGGAATTGTTTTCGTTGAGCACTTCCCGCCTCCGGCAAAGTACAGTCGGTCACATCCTGGATTAGGCAAAACATTCCACGTGGAGCAGCGCGTGCGCACCGCTGGAGGCTTCGGCATAGCGCTCAACAAAAACTAAGGAGAATGGCGTCCCCTCGCCGTTTTCGCGCTTTCTAATGTTCGTCAGCGTAGCGGATAACCCCACGTGAATGAATTTTTAGAAAATCGAGGTTTGCCTGGACACAGTTTCTGGGCGAAAAATAACCCTCAAAAGCGGCAAGATGGAGACAGCGAGCACAAAATCTTACTAAATCGCTGGAAATTTCCTAAAAACGCTCACGGTCATTGGATAAGTACAGCGCGGTTCATCATGATACGAATACCCCTTAAAAAGTTTCGGGACCTTTTGGAAAAAAATTAAAAAACTGTTGGTACTACGGGAAAGAGCACAACCGAAAACGGTATACGCGGCATAAGAATGAGAATCGATGTTAATTTTAGGAATGTTTTTGCGGCCGTTCATTGTTAACGAACACCTCAAACGAAGCTTTTTTTCACTTGAAACTGCAATCTTTCGAGTCAAGATTTCTTGTAAAGTAGTAGCAAAGTTTGAGACAACTGCTGTAAAGTGTATCCAGCGCAGTTCAGCAGAAGGAGCGTTATTCTTTTGAAACGGCACAAAATGCTTTTGGAGTCAATGAGCTCTAAAACCGTCTGTTTTTCTGCGAGTAAAGCATTCTAATTAGCTTCTACCGATGCTATGAGATGGATCAAGCTTTTTCAAAATAGACATTGTGTCTGTCGCTTGGGAACTTCCTGCGTACTCGGCGCGTTTTCCAACCAAACTTCAACGTTCTAGGGTTAACACATTTTGAGCATTAAACCTCTGTTTGTGTAGTCCTATGACAAGCTAAGCACACAGTATGTACAATTTTACGGAATTTTGTGTTTGGCCAGAAAAGTTCTGCAAATCTGAGCGTTTGTTTTGGACAAGACGTCATCTTGCAGAAATGGCTATGTTTGCTATTGCATTCATCCTATCACTGGCCTTTTAGCTCCGAAGCCTAGATTAGTCCTGCAAAAAATCCAAATACTTTAGCACGGATACATCAGCGTACAAGTAAGGCATTTTTCTCTTCGCCACTCTTTGTGCGTGATAAAAGCTGTTCTTTCAGACTCGAACTTGCGCTAGCCCTAGGGTAAGGTTGAAGCTTCGTTGAAAAACGCGCAAAGTTCATAGGAAGCGCCAAATACAAAATCTATCAAAAAAGCTTGATCTATCTCATAGCATCGGTAGAAGGCTGATTAGAATGCTTTACTTGCAGAGAAACAGACGGCTTTGGAGTGCACTGACTCCAAAAGCATTATGAGAGGTTTAAGAGCATCGCTTTTTTTCGAAGTGCACTTGTACATTGTTAGCAGATATCTCAAATTTTGTTACTGTAACTCAACATAAAATTTTGACTCGAAGATTGCAATCAAGTGAAAAGAAAGCTTTGTTTGAGGCGTTTGTATAATTATGAACCGCTACAAACTCGCCTTTGGCGCAAAAACATTTTTAATGTAAGATCAACATCAACTTTCATTCTTGTGCCGCTATCGTTTTCGTCTATGCTCTTTCTAGCGCCAACGTTTGAGTAAAGTCCTGGAACTTCAAAGCTGTGGGGTGTTCGTATAATTATGTTCGCACTTTGAATATACAACGAAAACAATGCTGCTGAGAAAATTCAGACTGACTGAAATGGACACGATTTTGCACTATTTGAATATCTTTATCCACTAAAGGGTTTGTGAACAGAAGCTGAGAAGTAATCAAAAAAATGAGGGACGGAAACAAGGTGCTGAAGGAGTAGAGTTGAATGTTGGTGGGATAAAAACAAAAAGGACTTTATCTTGGTTTTTGTGCTCATTGTTCGTAAAAATGGATTTAATCCTAATCAGAGTTTCCTGCGGAAGCGGTGGGCGCTATTCTTGGCTCAAATGAACTATAATAGCTCATCGTCATGAGAACGGATCTCGTTTTCAACGAATTAGACCGTTTTGCTGCTCTTACACAGGGTGTTGACGTGCTGTTCATAAGGCGGATTCCGAACTCATGCATTGCAGTGAGCACAAGCAACAGCGAATGCATTGCAGTGAGCACAAGCAACTGTGACAAGCACTACAGCGGTCCAAGCAGAATGTCCATATCGGATTATGCCACCAATATCAAGAAAGTTGCTCGCCTCATACTATAAGTCTGTTAACTAAGTTTTGCAAACGAGTCCGTAACTTCTCGCTTTTTGGTACTGGTGCGCTCAAATTTTGACCTTATATAGATGGCCATGCTATAAAGTGGCTCAAACATCTCGCTTTCCAGAGACAATTAGAAAAAATCCGAGAGGTTTTCGAAAACCGGTGAAATCCGAGGATTCGTGGGGTTCTATGTTGAAATGAAGCCATTCTTAACCTACATCATGCACAACAATCCGAAAGTGTGCACATTCTTGCTAGACAGTGGCGTACCCAGGATTTCGGCTCGGGGGGGGGGGGGGCGCGACAAAAATTTTTTTCTAATGAAGGTGCGTGGCGTTAGCCACGCACTTCGAAAAATTTTTTGGGGTGCTTCTCAAAATTTTTGCGGGTCCCCGACCCCTAAAATCCGGAAAAAGGGGGCGTGGCGTGAGCCACGCCCCCGAAAAAAATTTTTCATAAAGCTAAAATAAATTTTTAAAAAATTTTAAAAATTATTTTAATTATTTACAAGTGCAGACAAGTCATTTGCACAATTTTATAACCCGTATAACTAACTTTCAAAAATTTCGCGACCCGTTCTCGGGGGGGGGGGGGGGGGCGCGCCCCCCCCCCGCCCCCCCCCCCTCGGTACGCCACTGTTGCTAGAGGTTGATTCATCTAGCGGAGTGAGGAAGAAATGGAATTCGAAGAGAACTCAAGATTTGGCGCCTTCACAAATTTGAAGCAGCTGCTGTACGTAAAGCTGCTTGGGGACAAGCTCATTCACTAAGGAGTCGAAGTTTTAAAATTCGCTAAAACTTTGGTTGTGGGGTTATTTGCTTTGCCGGAAAGAATGTCATATTTGTTACTTGAGCTAACGCCTCTTTTTGCATCACTACCTAAATGATGAAAAATTATGATTGGTCACATGCAAAGAGACAGAAGTTATAAAAATAGCTGCAAAACTTAGTTAACAGCCTAATAAAAGTTAGTGCATAGGCCAAGGTTCTCATAACAGTCATTCAGAGCGACCACAAAGAGTCATTTCTAGAGTCATTTCCAAGCTGGTACACAAAGTGAAAAGGTTTTGCTCCAAATCTTGCTAGGAGTTTCAATAATGGCACTCAAGTGCTCCGCAGGCATAGCAGTACTCAAATCTTAAACGTAGTGTTGAGAACGTTCTGCTTACCTGAGGTGGACATGTTTTGTAAGATGCTGGATAGCGAGGATACATTATTATTTCTTCAGGCCAAACTCTCTGCGGTACTATGGGGAACAAGTAGAGTAATATCCGTGCAATGAGCATTCCAAACGTGATTAAGTAGACTTATATGTGAAAGAAAATACTACAAATGAACTCCTCTTCCTATCGTCCTTCGACTTCATGTTATCATGAAAACAGTAGGACATGATAACAATGTCCATGATGATCCGTTTTATCAGAGTCCATGACAAGGTAAAAGATTATATTCATCACATTCGTAAAATATCAAAACCAGTAGGAAGAAAATGCATCTTTGTGCTTTTGACACTTGAGACCAGCGCAGCAGGGACGAGCGATTCATATGTTTAGCCGATGTGTTATCGTCGTTATTGCATTCGTAATAGGTTTAGCGACAACTAGATTAAGCGGTGCACAAACAAAAACTAGAAGAACTTCGGAAGGAAGTTGGGGTTTTTGTCGTTCGTAATCTTCAAACCAAATCAAGTTTCTTCAAAATAAATCACCACAGTTTTTGGTCCCAGAAATGTAAGGGTACTGCAGGACGAAGCCCCAGAAACAGTAATGACTGAGCGGGGCGGACCCGTGAAGCTGCTACTTGCCTGCGGCTAATAAACGCTACTGCATGACGAAATCGCGATATCTGTGGCCGTGTTTGTTTTAGGGATATTGCTTCGTCATGCAGTAAATCTCCGTGAACGTCCATAATTTTAAGCGCCATAACTCACCCGGGATGAGTACATTCTAGAGCCGAAAAACAGTGTGCCCAGCTCATTACGGCTTATCTTTCTACATACAGCATGCCCTCGATATTTCGTTTCCGGATTTCTCAATTTTTTCTGCGGATTTCTATTCGCAAGGGGTCACGCAACGTATACCACACATAAGAGGTTCCAGTAAGCACAACTCAATGACGCTGTTTTCCTAGATTATCCAGCGTTAACAACCAGCAGGAAATTTCTCTTCGGAAATGATAGAAAAGCTGGTGAGTGAGGGAAGGCAGCTAAACTAGGAAAACATCGCGTTTTTTTAAGAAACGGACTTCAAACGGGTGAAGCATAATTAAGCTGAGGTAAAACATAGTTTTATACAATCGCACCAGTAAAGCAGGATCGTTGCTGTGCACATTCCTCAGGAACAGCGATGCCTATGACTTTTTGATGACTGAGTCGTAATGGCTGGTGAATTTGAATGAATTAGCGGTCATAGGTGAGATAAGGTGAGAATGACTCTTCCAGGGTGAAGGGGTCACATTGATTAAAGGGTGTTTCACTCGATCGAGATAAAAATGTCGACCTGGGGAGGGTGGAGGGAGAAGTGGCGGTGTTCTCTCATTAATTTTCCAAACCAAAGTTTATCATTTTGAAATCTCTGTCATCACTCGTTCTCTTTTTTTTTTCATAATGTAAAGATTGAAGTAGGAGAACTGCTCTACATGTTTTTGAAATTACAGTAGAAGATGTGTATGCGAGAGCATCTTTCGTAAACAATTTTTAAGCATTTGCAATTTTTCTAAAAGGAAAAATTCGTAACTTCTGTAAATGATCAACATCAGCAAGGAAATCATTTTCAGAACCATCTTTTCTTCAGCTTTCAGAAAATATATGGTTTGTCTGGGGTCTCAAAAAAAAGGCCTGGTGAAGGGCGTGGGCAGTGTTTTCCGGATATTTACGAAATTTTAGATTTAAAAAAATTCACAACTTCTATATATGAATATTTTGTATGCCGAAATGGTCACCATCGGAACCCCCGCTTCCAGAGATTATTTAGTTTGCCTGGAGTCTGCTGGAAAAGTGCCTGGTGAAGGGTATGGGTAGTGATTTCTTGATTTCTAGTTTTTAGCATAAAAAATTCATAACTTTTGTAGATGAACAGATAGTACAAGGAGGTAATCAACTTTAGAACCGTCTCGTTCTCCGCTTCCAGAATATATACTTGGGGTCCTCAAAAAAGTGCCGGGTTTTCACAATGGTAGAGAACCCCTCCACTTAAGCACTCCCATTATAAAAGCCCCACCCACCCTTCACCCGGCACTTTTTTTTTATAGACCTCAGGCAAAGTATATATTTTCTGAAAGCGAAAAACGAGACAGTTCCAATGGTGGCTATCTCGGCGTACAAGATGTTCAGTAAAAAGTCACAAATTTTTTTATGTTAAAAACTCAAAAATTATTAAAAACACTATGTAGTCTCACCCTTCACCAAGGCACTTTGTTGAATGGATCTCAGACATGCTATATATTTTCTGAAAGCGAAGTGCGTGACAATTCCAACGGTTACCATCCCCATGCACTATCTGTTCAATTAGAAAAGCTACGGATTTTTCTCATCCTGAAAACTCGCAAATATCCAAAAAGCGGCTGAAAGGGGGGGATCGAAAGCTAGGGAATGATCAAAGAGCACGGGCCGAGAGAATGCAGACGGGTGCGAGCGGTGCGCCGCCAATCCGGTTGAATAAAGGGTACTTTCCAGCAAAGGCAACGTGGAAAAAGTCAAATTACTGCGTTCACCTTCAATTAGGTCTCAGTATAGCATCCTGTACATATTATGTTTCCGAAGCGAATTAGTCAATAGCGATTTGTAAGGTGCATAAAAAGGTTTTTACGGGTTGTCGGATGAGCTGACTTTATAAAGGCTGCTGCAGGACGAAGGCGCAGAAGCAGTATCGGCCGAGCGGGTGCGAACGCGACGCGCGTGTATCTTCACCGTTGTAGATCCTGCGCCTTAGGCCAAAGGCATACCTCCAGCGATCCCATCGTTACGACTTTCGATCGCTGCAATTAGACTGCCTGGGCGTCCGTTCATCGTGTGAAAATCGCTCGTCGCTCAGTTACTGGACATAGCAATTACCAAAGCAATTTCGTAAGCGCTAACGTACCACACCGCGTTATACGCGCATTCGGGGAAATTGCGCGGTTAGAAGTGCATCTATCAAGAAAGTTCGAAAAGAATGTGGCGCCATATGCTTCCAAAGAACATTACATCAAATAAGGAAGGACATCTACTTACACTCATTCTAGCATTTACCAACGTTTTTCTACCGGAGAGTTAACATCTGCAAAAACCGACTACTAGTTCATAAAGTTTTGAGTTCATTCTTCCAATCACTGGTAGGCATATATGCTAGCTTCATAAGAATAAGGCCATGCTTTTGGCCACTCTAAGTAGGCATACGTTAACAATGAGTGCTGAGCTCTTTTCTGTCAATCTGCGCACGATTATACGTATATGCGGCAACCGAGACTCACATCATTTTGCTTTATTTGTAGCAAGAACGTTCGAATTTCGAGCACCATCTACTTGCTATTAAAAACAGGAACGGTGGACGATTATTGCACTGCGAAAACGGTGAGTGCTGACACAGAGGTGGGTAGCATATGGGAGGCATAGCAACTATATACTTCGTATGTGTTGTTGTCAAGATAAATAGGATGGAACGTTTGATGACCATCCTTTTTTCATGCAGAGACGAAGCGCTTGTGAGAGATAAAACAATTCTAAATGAAATTCGCATTTCCAAAAAATACAAAACTTCCCACAAAGAAGAATTTATTTGAGCGATTTGCCCATCGTTGGTGCAGAACTAACGACGACATCGCTCATTTTGAGAGTATAGCCGTCCAAAAAAGGCCTGCGATTCGTCGCAGCGTCAATCTAACAGACTCGGCGGGACCACACACTTGGGGGCGAGTGCGCTGCGGACTCGAAACATAGGTCCGAGTTCCGAGTCTGGATTCGCGACGCGACTGGTATGCAGGTATGCCTTAGGTCTTATTTAGGTCTTATTCGCTTCACAGACAATAAGACCGCATTCGCGCCCAAAGATACTGCGCCTTCGTCATGAAGCAGCCTATATGTGAAAACTATTGGCGTCTGTGTTGGGTTTCAGTGGTCTGGTCTGTTTCTTACTCTGCTCCTGTTGACACGGTTCAGGCAAACTTCTTTATTCAAGCGCCTGCCTCTCCGGTTAATATTCTACAAACATCAGACACAGGGTTCTCCAGCATAAGTTTCTACCTTAAAGTGGAGTCCAATTAGGCGCAGTTAATGTATAAGCGCTGGTTGGCAGCCTCCTTTGTTCAATGAGATTCCAAATCCACAAAAACAATGTTTTCGAGATGAACATAATCTAAGATACGTGTAAAACGCAACTACAATACTACAAGACATAGTCACGTCGGCTAGGAACGCGCCACTGTGGCTGTTCACGTACTATGATGGCTTACTTCACTGGTCTTGAAATCGAATTATAGTCGCTTAAAGTAGGGGATCTTACAAAGAAAGGGTTATTAGTCGAAGTGGCCTTAGGCGATTTCTACATATCCTGAAGGGCATGAAAGCTGATCCCAAATTTAAACTACTCGCCGTCGTCTTCTAAACACCCGGTTTTGAGCGATTTTGAGGTTAGAAATGAACGTACATTTGAAACAATCATTAAAAATTGATCAGCAGGGTATTGTATATCAGGGAAGCAACGGATACGTATTATTCTACAACCAGTGCTTCACCTCTGCTTCGCAGAGGTTCGCACTGGCCATCACGAAAAGTATAGGTAAACTTACATAATCATCTTGGCCTTTATCATTCCTTGATGAAAGAAACCGCAAAGTAATTACAAAAATGAACCTTACTTGCTTTGCAACTCTCACATGCATTTAAGCAATGTAAATCATTCCTCACTGTAATTTCGTAACAGACACACTTACAGACCGACAAATTAGCGGCTTATTATAAGTCATGATGTCGGAACTTACCACTGCGATGTCAACGTAAAATGGGTCGTGAAGTTACTTGAATTTTTATTTGAGCTTCAAAGTTGCATGTCACGAGGAAAATCTTGTTAGCCAACTCAATATTTATCCTTCTTGCTTAAATGCTTTGAATCTATTCACCTGGAAACGTGTTCAACGAGTTGCAGTTACCAAAAAATTGCAATTGTATTTTGAAGCCGACATACCACAAACAACGTCTTCGGAGAACGTTTCAGTGCAGTTACTGAAATAATAGAAACTTGCTTGCCCTGGAATTTTTTTTCAACTTCGCGAAAAAGTTTTGTTCAAATTGTCGCATGCGTATAAACCATCTACCCAACTGCGCAAGTCTGCACGATCCGAATCCACCATCGCAGTAAAATACCCGCCACTCCCGACGAAATCACTGGGTATGCGCCAATTTTGATAGATACCTCAATAATCCGAACTTGAGTACCTACAACGTCTCAAATGCTTAACATAATTCAGTTTGATCGGGCTAAGTCGAAATTCTTTCGAAAGTTTTGAGTTTTGCTGCACATGCCTTATTTGGCCTAACGCGGTGTTTTAATTTTTCTCTTCTTCTTTCCATTGAAGTCCTGGTGTAAACTTAAAAAACATTGCAAAAAGGACGGAGGGCGTCAAGAAACTAAATTCAAATAGCTTAAAAGAATACAGGAAGAAAATAAAGAAGAAGCATAGAATTACTCTGACAAATGCATTTCTGAGATGTGTTCATGTGACATTAATCCATGTCCCGTACAACTCAAATTTGCGGGCGACAGTCTTTATTCATTACGCGGACGGATGTGAGCACAAGTTGGCCTCTGTGCCGATCTCAATATCGACGTTCCAGTATTCCAATACTTTTTTTCCATTGCTTATAAACTTTGGTGGAATGTATATGCAGATCTCCTTCATTTTCGAATTGAATCCATCCTGAACATCATTCGTGTGATCTTGTAAGCTTAGTAATTCAACGTTCTTTCGGAAATGTAAATGTTCATCATCAAAGAAAAAAAAACAGTACCCTTTTACGGTTGCACCAAGTGACAATGCGGAGTTGTGGATTCATGACTACCTCTTCTATAGTGCCTGAAATTTTGAAAACTCCCTTTGTGTCCGTTTTGGCGGCAGCCAGCTCCTCTTTGGAAACTGAAATCATAATTTAAAATGGAACTCAGCTTTGCATTTCAACTCACACCATCCTTTTTGATACAAAAACATAGATACTCCAGCAGCGGGTTTATTGTTACAAAGAAGTTTTCCCCTTGCTCCAGCTGTCTGCCATCTCGGGAATCTGCTCATAAAACAGTAGCATGATGAGAGAACAAACGAGAAGATCAGTACTCGCATTCTGCAATCATGCCTTTTATTTGCCCTATGTATGCCGACAAGTAATGTACAATTTGAGAAAGACAATAATTACTTCACATGTATCTGGTAGGTAACTCTTACTAACCAAACTTACTGATAATGATTGCATGATAACTTTATTACTGCATGTTCCTCATGCTACCGCAGGAGATCAGAAATTGGAGAGAAGAAAAGATTGAAAAAAATTGTAGAAACACAAGATTCGATAAAGCAAGCCCTCAAGGTACCACTAAAGCAATCGCCTGATGATTTCTGTGTTAATAAGCTAAAGATTATAATCTTGAATCCTTTGAAGAATGTTGCCACTCAAACTTCCCTATGCCTATACTCTCCGCACGAGTTTTTCTTAGAAAGGCATCGTGTTTTTCTCGTACCTAAAAATGAGAAATGGAATGCTGCAAACGAATCATTGTTGGCTTGTACATGAGCATTTCTATCCTCGCAAGTACAAACTGGAGATTTTCAGTTTTTGCGAGCACTGTTTGTCAGGAAACAAGAAATGTGACTAAAGACCAAAAACTAGCTCTAAAAACCGGAATTAGCAATTTTCCTAACTTCACCTTATTTTGCCTTTCGTGCACCAGTTACAGCAAAATTACAACTGTCCTTGCTATACTTTGAGGGAATATACAGGAACAACTTAGATGCTGGAACTTTCAAAAAGAATTTCGATCGTTGGGTCTTCGAAATTTATTAGACCTTGAATTCAAACTTCTTAGAGTCAGTCCTTGTGCGAACATGCTTTGCTCTTAAATGAAAAATTTGATCCATGGAAGAGCATTAGTACTGTTTCAGCTCTGGGAAGGATGAGGTTTTTTCAAATGAAACACAACACCTTCGAAACAACGAAAGTGGACTGGTAAGGAAAGCGTCTCAGCGGCTATTTATTGTAAGGAATTTCGATATGATCGCAGCATATTTTGATTTTTTGGTATAGGGAAATGGTAATGCATTGATGTATTTATCCAATTGCCGTTCGGAAGCATTGCTAAACTGTGAAAAAGGGATCAAAGCTTAAAGACATCAATTTTAAAAGTTAACGAGCCAGCAATAAACCTGACAAAGCATCAGGCATTCCTTGAAACATTCAGCAGGTAGCATGGGGATGGACTAAGAAACACAAAAACGGCCGATAGTAGTAGAACACTCGACTTCTCCCTCTAAGGCATTTTTTCACGGTAGGTAGAGCCTATAGCTGAGGCCGAATATTCGGACAAACTATTCGAAAATTTGGTTATTTGATTGATCCAGTTAAATATATGAAAGAGACAGCGAATTTACATTCGTTTATTATGCCATTTGAGAAAATGGCTTGTCCGATACGATTTTTTAATGTATATAAAAGCACCTACTCATCCGAATATGGTGGAACCGATTTCGTGCTCAACAAGTTTTTAAGATTTGACTGTTCCAATATTCGAATAGTTTGATATTCGCAAAATCATCTATTCAATTATTCGATTAGTTCAAATATTTCTTCATTCAATTCATGATAACCTACTCGAATATGGATATCATGACTTACAATAAAGCGCGTGTCTGTCTGTTTGTCTGTGTGTTTGTGTTTACAGTTGAGCAGCATTCTCGAACATTAATTTTGTCGAGGCAATGCGATGAAGCAATGTAAAAATATAAACCAAATAAGATTTGAAAAAATTCTCGTTCCTGAATTCGTAAAATTACGAGGACTTAAGAACGTTGAATTAAGCAGCTTAGTGAAAAGTCAAGCCAAACTTTATTTTGCACTGACGCTGTTTCCTTGGAAAAAATATTTTTGATGCTTGATGAATTTTCTCTATTTGAGTAACAGAGTCGCTGTCGCCGCATTATTTGCCTAATCATTGCGACACCTAGCTTGGCCCTGCGTTGGTGATGCATACTGTGGGCATCTTCCAATGTCTAGCAGCTGCTGAAGAGTAGTGTACATAGTCAGTTGCCCGAAGGAAAGGCTACATCGTAGATTCCCACTTCTGGAATCTATACTCTGTAAACCTAGTGCTGAAGAAGGTCACTTTCGTGAAAACGCTCTAGACTCACCTTACCTAACTTGTAGAGAATAATTGAAAGAATAATTGGTTTCAATGAATTAAAAACTCTAAGACATTCAAAAGAATAACATGTTATTAAAATATCCCTCAATGTTTTGGAAAGGTTGGCAGTTTGAAGAGGAAACGGCAGGCAGAACACTTTACAAAATCGCAGATGACTCGCATGTGTTCCAGTTCAACAGCGAGGCAGAAGGAGAATCTTACGCCGACGAAAATGCTGTCGACATTGATACAGAGTTGGCAATTGAGCGAAACTCTCTGATTTCCTGCATAAGGAATCCAAGCAGATTGTTTAGTTTCAATGAGGAAATGTCCAGGAAGTCCATTGCTGATCTTCAGGTTGCTGGAGAATTCAAGGCTGCTACATTCACAAACATGGATATGAACAAAAGAAATGTATTAGTACAAAGCATAGTTACTGCGCTTAGAATCCGGCTGGAGTGCGAACCCAACTCTGTGCTTTATGCTTTGAAAGTTATTCGCCTTCTGACAATATGACCTATGATATTGAAAAAAAAACCAACGCGCAGCATAGTACCTCCTTTTTTCGGCTATTCCGCAGATGATGTTAAAGAAGAAGTTGAGCAGCTTTCTAATCAGCTAACAGGACGTATGCCAGAGGAGGTGAAGCCAGAGTTCGACAAGGCCCAAAAAGTATGCACTGTTTCCTTCCCGTGTTGCGAAAGCATATGAGATCTGGCTCTTTTCCCATTAACTACCGCAAAAATCTGATGGACCTACTAGCAAAGCTAGTTTCCATTCCGAGTAGCACGGCAGAGGTGGAGAAAGAAATTTTCTATCTGCTCTGTTAACAGAACACAACGCAGAAGTCGTACAACGATAGAGCATCTAAGCAATTACTTAAGATTTGTCAATCTTCTACTAAACACATTGTTATCTAAAAACTTCATTTAAAGGATTGGTATAAGTGGTCCAGACAGGCTGTTACCGTATGACTTTTTGAAATATCCTAAAAGAAGGTATGAAGAAACTGGTCACCTACCTGCTGACTTCCTGATGCTACCAAAGGGCCAGAAAAAAATCACAAAAGCGCTTAAAAGAAGAAGAAAGTTTCAAATCCATTTTCGATTCAGAACGCTTTTGCACGCAATTCTACTTCTACTCCGATGACCTTTTGGAGGAAGAAGAAGATTTTTCAGGCAGCGAACTTGTTGTCTCTGACGTTAGCGATAGTGATATTGTTGATGATGATGTGCAGGAAGTTGTTCCTAACTTGTATATCTTTTGGGATAAACACTATTGCTTTCGTTTTATGTTATGCAATGAAACAGAAGCACAGATCTTCATAATCAATTTTCTTAAAAATTTTTAATTTCTGTTGAAAATTTTTAAATTTTATTTCAATTTGTGCCTAAATAAGGTACAAATTAGTGCTCTTCATACCACGCTTTTTTACATTTTCTCTCTTCCCCCCCCCCCCCCCCTAGACTCACATACCCCCTTCACCCTGGAAGGTCGGGAACAGCCGAGACTCCCTTCACCTGGGGAGAGCCCGGCTCCCCTTATCGCATCTATGACTGGAAGTTTATTTTAGTTTTTTTTCTTGAGATCTAACCAAATTGTCTGTTTAAAAAAAAGTTTGCATTTTTTCTGTCTAAGCTAAAAGCAAAAACAGCAAACGCAAAGCAATGCGCTGTAATTTCATCGGATTTGTATGACTGATATGGACTTAAAAAACATTGCAAAAAGGAAGGGGGACGTCAAGAAACTAAATTCATATAGCTTAAAGGAATGACAAGAAGAAAAAAAGAAGATGCGCAGAATTACTCTGACAAATGCATTTCTGAGATTTGTTCATGTGACATTAATCCATGTCCCGTACAACTCAAAATTGCGGACGACAGTCTTTATTCATTGCGCGGCGGAAATTGAGCATAAGTTGGCCTCTGTGCCGAGCTCAATATCGACGTCCCAGTATTGCTTTACTTTTTTTCCTCTGCTTATATACTTTGGTGGAATGTCTATGCAGACCTCCTTCATTTTCGAATTGAATCCACCCTGAACATCATTCGTGTGGTCTTGTAAGCTTAATTCAACGTTCTTTCGGAAATGCAAATGTTCATCATCGAAGAAAAAAAACAGTACCCTTTTACGGTTGCACCAAGTGTAAATGAGGAGTTGTGGACTAATTTGGAATATTTCTTTAGCAGTGCCTGAAAATTTAAAAATCCATTTTTGTCCGTTGCGACGTAACCCAGCTTGGTTTTGTGAACTGAAATTATGATTTAAAGTGGAGCTCAGCTTTGCATTTCTACTCACAGTAACCTTTGTCATACAAAACCATAAATACTCCGGCAGCGGGTTCACCGTTACAAAGAAGTAATCCCATTGCTCCAACTGTCTGCCACCTCGGGAATCCAAGGAGACAGTAGCATGATGAGAGAACAAACGAAAAGATCAGTACTCGCATTCTGCAATCATGCCTTTTATCTGCCGTATGACAAGTACTAATGTACAATTTGAGAAAGACAATAATTACTTCACATAGATCTGGTAGGTAACTCTTACTAACCAAACTTACTGATGATGATTGCATAATAACTTTATTACTGCACCAGTGCGTCACCTCTGCTTCGCAGAGGCTCGCACTGGCTCTACTATCTATGTGCCTTACTCATTCTCGTGAAATCGTAGCACTGGAACTCACCGCGCTATGCCGACTACCACGATAAAATGTAAACAACGTCTCATTTGGAAAGTTTTTTCACGTGAGATCGGTGAATTCGCGTGGATGAAACTTTTCGCAGGAAGAACGCAAATTTGAATAGGATTTTGGATCTGTCATGGCTTGGTAGTCGCCATAGAGGTAATAGTAGCCATGAGCTACATCTCTGTGCGAAAATCTTCTCAAACGCTTAGCTAGAATGTTGGCAAATTGACCATTTATACAACCAATTCTTTTTAGCGCCGTTTTC